CCGGGATTCCACCACTGCCGGGAGCCAGCGCTTGGCTCTATCAGGCCTCCAATCACGACTTCACACCATTCGAAAATACACATTTCCACCCTCCAGCGCTGACGTTGCTGCGGCTGAACTCGTGAACCTATATGTCCAAAAGGGGCATAACTACCACGCCTGCCACCGGTTTTTGAAAAAAGCGCCGAATGCGGCGACCTGTGTGTGTCCCACCCTGGACAAAGGGTCTTACACCACCACTCTTCCCATTTTACACAGGCAGGGGGGGCAATGCACGACTGACAGACATTGCCCAACGAAGACGCTGTCAGCTCGTGGTGAAGCAATGCGGGACGCCGCATTGTGTACCTGCTCAATGAACTTTTGCACACGCTGTCCACTCTTTTGGTTTGATTCATGGTGGTTCCACACGATACTTTCCCCACAAACAGGTTTCCCACTGCACTGCAGCTGCTGACCGCCGCTTCCACTTGCGCTTGTCGTGAAACCTGTGTTAAACAATACAGTTTAAGCTGACCTTTCCACCTTGCCGTTCCATCGCCTTCCTTCCCATTGAGACAATTGCGTTAACTGAAAACCCAAGTTCGAAGTGTGTGTGTTTGTCTGAGTTCAAAAAAACTCTGAAGCTTCCACCTTTCGATCCTCCCTTGGTAGGCTTTGTGAGCACCGCTTGGATTCTTTGAAGCAGGACCGTTGCAGTTTCCCAAAGCCTCGTCAGTGCTCAGTTCTCAGTTCAGTGGTTGCTGTTTATTGAAAGCGGCTTTTGCGGAGGAGTTCGTATACAATTTCCTCACGGAGTTTTTCCTCCTCTATGACAACCTTCCAATTTGGCACGAATCCTCAGTACCAATGGCATTACCACACTGTGGTAGACCATTTGCGCTTCTCCAAAGCTTTGTACAAGAGTTGAGTCGAGTCGCTCTTGAAGTTGGCCATGTTTTCAAGATGGAGGCATTTGGGAGGTTAAATCATTCGTTTCCCTGCGACCAGGTTTCATCGTTTAATTTCCTTCAACTTCGCATGGAGGAATGTCCCAATTGGAGGCGATCTGGGTGAAACCATGAAGTGTGAAACCACACCGGCCTGAAAGAGTTGGACACAGCATGAACAAGAAGCTACTAGTAACAAGAAGCTACTAGGGGCTCCTGGCATCGCTACTAGGAGCAAGGACGCTACTAGGGGCTCCTGGCCCTACTACTAGGAGCAAGTAGCTAGGAACAATCCTTGAACAAGCAGTCAAGTCATCAGACCATCCGTCTTGCAGTCGAGTCAGGTGCATCTCCAGCGTCTGCAGTACAAAACTATTTGTATGACCGTCAACTTCTCAGGCCAACCAGCAAACATACAAAGCTTGACGTAGCAGTATTTCTTAATTTTTCTTATGGGGCTATTCAAAGAAGTTCTCATGAGAAGGATTGCTGCAAAAAGATAACACCTGCGCCCCGCTGTCCAAGTGGAAACCAAGGCACTATCTCAATGAGTTTGGTTGGCGTTCAAGCACTCACCTCCTTCCCGGCAGAGCTGGCCAAGTCTGGCTCTTGCTTTGTTTCACAGCTTTAAAAGCGGCCAAGTCTGGATGATAAACTCTGAAGCCTCAGGATGGATGCGCGAGCTACTCGCCTACTAGAGCTTCAAGAGGCCATAAAGAACACTGACACAAGTTACAAAAACGCTACTAGTAGCAAGGGGTTTGTGCAGATATTCTTTTGGATGAATATCTTCAACAGGCAATCCACTGCGCTTCGCAAGTGCAGCCCAGGCGGGTTTTGTCGAAGGAAGGTTTGAATGTGCTGAAGGTTTGGCAAAAGGATTGATTTGCTGCGTGTTGCTGTTTGAGCTGTGGACAAGCCTCCTAGTTAGCCTGGTTAGTTTGGGTGCTGCCTTGTTGGAAAAAGCACTGGTGAAGCACTTGTCAACTTAGAGGCCGAGGTGGAGTAGCACTTTGGTACTCTTTTCCCACCTTGGAATGAGTGCTTGATGTTGGACATGGTGATTTGGTACAGTTGATGGTTGATTGACACTTGACCGACAGTTGACGCTTGATGACACTTGCCAGGATAGATTTTGGCCTGAGTGTTGTAGTGTCCTTAGATTTCTTCAATTTTTGCAGTCTTCGAGAGCAATATAGCACAGGCTATTTTTTGGATGCGCGCCTGGCAGGAGGTGCAAGGTCTAACTCTGTCAACTCCGACACAAGAGGTGTTGGCGAAGCACTTGACCTTTGGAGTTGGAAGCTGAGATGAAACACATTTAATGGAGCAAGGACGCTACTAGGGGCTCCTGGCATCGCTACTAGGAGCAAGGACGCTGCTAGGGGCTGCTAGACGCTGCTAGGACGCTGCTAGGGGTCAAGAGATCGAACGGTTCAAATTCGATCCAAACTGTTTTGGTGCGTTCATTGGTTGACATCTCAGGTCTACAGGAATAAAGCGATGCTAGTCACAGGACCCAATGGAGCCTCAAGCTTAGCCAATGGAAAGAACAGGTCATCAATTCCATGGTCGGTTGCCGTGACGGACCAGTCTTTATTTGGCATGCAATCTATGTGAGGCTGGAAAGACTGCTCTAGCACGTGTCCTGCTTGGGCTGTGGCCACCTGGAAATGGTGTCAGACTATTTGTGCCTGACAGCTTCAGCATTGTACCGCAAAGGCCGTACTTGGCACCTGGCTGCTTGGGTGATCAGGTCACATATCCGAAGCGCTTTGAGACAATCGATGAAGCACCAGCAGAGGTGGCACTGGAAAAGGTTGGACTTCTTTACCTGCTTCAGCGAGGATCAGCGACTGGTGGATCCACCCGGTGGCGTTTTCAATGCGACTGGGAGGATCAGCTCTCCGGCGGAGAGCAGCAGCGTCTTGCGCTGAGCCGTATCCTTTTTCATCAACCCCTGTTTGCGATCCTGGATGAATGCACTTCGATGGTGGCGGCCGATGCGGAAGAACGTCTCTATCGCACAGTGGTTGACACATCGATTACTCCGATCACCATGTCCCAAAGACTTTTCCTTCCAGAGCTTCACACGAAAGAACTTCGTCTTGGCGTTGCGAGTGCGCGGAAGTGGTGTGAGGCCAATTCCTCAGAGTCAAAACGCTGAACGGATGCCTCAGAGTCTTTTTCATTACAAACAGGTTCAGCTGCAGAATGGCAGTTCCTGAACCTTGACCGTTTCCCAAGAGGCCCAGATTTTGTGAATTCCTGCTGTAAGAACAAAGCTGGCAAAGCTAAAGGAAAACAGATGAAATCTGGAAGAGCAATGAGAGTTGTTGCTGCAGCACGTTTACATTCGTGTCCTTGTGCAAGGCAGATCTGCTCCGGCTAATACCCCTCCTGACTTGCTTGCGGTAGCGACTGCAGGTGAAGCTTTGTCAGAGCCGATAACGAACACCCAAAGAAAAAGGATGGATAACAATGCTCAGAAAGCAGTATATACTCTACTAGGAACAAGTGCATCGCTACTAGTAACAAGTGCCTTACTAGTAGTAACAAGAAGCTATTAAAAAGAAGAAGCTAATACTCTTTGTTAGATAATGTTAGATATGAATTTGCACAGAATGATCATTTCTGCAGCTGTTGCACCTCTCAGAGCTAGCCATGATACTCTCGAGCCTTGGTTGTATCATATCCGAATGAATGGGTATTTGCGCACTTCAGAGCCGCAAGACCTCAAAGCTCAAGCGCTTCAAATCCAAAGGCTTTGGACGGGGCACAGCTCATTCTTTTCCACCGCTCATCCCCGACAAGGGCGTTACCCCAGTGATGGAAACCACATGAGGTGGCAGAGGATTGTGGACAATTCAACTTACCTTGTACTTAGTGCGCTGCCATGGCGGACGGTCGATTTGATGATTTGTCACTTACCTGAGACATTCAATGTGTGCGTCAACACACCTGCATGTTGCTTTCACTTGAGACATCGCTGGTCCCACCATTTTGCGAGACATTCTAAATTATCATTCCCTTGCAAAAGAAAGATTAGCTTGATTAATGAGAGGCAAACCATGATCATTTGGAAGTCGACATGGATTCAGCTATGGTGCTCGTGCTGGTTCTAGGTTCGACAGGAAACTGTTACACAGGCGGCCATCACATGAATTTCCTTGGTCCTCACACTCAATAGAGCCCCTTTTCTTCTTTGGTCCATTTTGTGATAGAGTTTATCCCAGTGTTAACACGCCAACCGCTGAGGCTGGTGAATATGGCAAGGAAGCACTCCAATGTCGAGGAGCACAGGGAGTGGAGAGAGAATAGGGAGCGCAACAGCGCAGCTCGATGGAAATATGAGGAGAAGCCAGGCAATTAAGGAATCAAGCCAGCACCAATATCAGCTTGATGTAGACTCTTAATTATATATATATATATAATAACCTCCCCGCAATTAAATTGAAACAGCTCTGAACAAGGGGGGGCTTACAGAACTTGACATATCTAATACACAGGCATGATGAAAGGATTCGGGTGCTTATCTTTGGAGAGTGTCACTGTACTATCAAGGGAAGAGATTGTGGAGGAGCTTACCTGGAGCCTTTTGAGTTTCTTTGAGCGTCGCACGGATCTCTTCCACGTAATGGAGACCTCATCCGACCGTAGCTAGCTCAGCTTTCACCAATACTAGTTAGAATCAATGTGTTCAATGACATTGATTTTGCACCCGATGTCTTGGATGCATGCCAAGAACAATGGGCTGCTTTGCTGAAGACCTTTCGGCTGTTTGGCGCAACACGCTGCAGGTATGGGTTTTGGACCAGGAATGGCTGAGAAGATGCTGTTCAAGCACTTTAACTTTTGCTATAGCCTCTGCTTTTCAGGGTTACTGTACTTTGTAGTAAGCAAGGCCTGCATCCTTTTTTGTAGCAGATAAAGCCATGAGCTTCGTGGATGCTACCAACTGTTGATGAAGCCTACCCAGATGAGTACTTTAGCATGGCACTTGTTTCTGAACGTCCTCAGCCACGTGGCTCCAGAAATGCCTGTTAAACAGTTCGTTCTGGAGTATGTGTGATGATGATGAAAGGTCCGTATAGTCTCTAGCTTAGTGAAGTGCTTGGATGGGTAGTTTCTTGCCACTATCGCTTCTAGGTTGGAGGCTATCGCTACTAGGGTGGAGGCCATCGCTATCTGGTAATTACAGAGCTATACAGAGCTGGTGTGCTTGGTGAAGGGGCTTCGTCCTTGTCGGCTCCAAGGCCCTCGACCGAGCGAAGACACGTCCAATGCTTTGCACGGTCTGCCACAGCTCAACCTTCATAGACCCTCAGAGTGAAGCCAAGTGATTTAGATCGACAACTTCTCCACCCGATCTTTCTCCCTGAAGTTACTTTGTTTTGTTGCATCTTTCATATGATTTCTGTTGTGAACCATTGCAGACTGTTCCCTTGACCATGAAATCTTACTACAACGTTGTGGCATACATGCAAGAGCGCTGCCATCCCAGGAGTGCACATGTGCCGGAATCCGAGCAAAAACCCCTGTTCCCTGTCCTCGGTGCTTGCATTGGAGCACCGCTTTGTGTTGATTCTGTTCAAACCCAACTTTCAATTCAGCATCCTCAAAACTGTGCTGGATATTGGCTCTTTGGATGCATCTCTTGGCCAACTGCCAGTTGAACCATTGAGGTCGGAATAGCATTCAACCCATCTCGGTTGTATGGCGACATAGCACTCCTTCGAGGCATCGCTTTATTTTTGGGTCAATTCACAGACCTTCAACTGGTTTGAAGGCACTATAAGAGAGTAGCAGAATGTGTTAGCGCTGCGGAGAACTCGGTGACAGTCTCACACTTAGTCCACTTGCCATACGGAGCTACTGATGTATCAGGGAACCTGGTTGTCTCCACCGATTTCGTGCATTTCCCTGGAGCTTTCATGGATTTCTCAGGAGGCACGAATGTCTGCTGATGCCGCCCCTTCCTCCAAAGTGCCGCTGCCACTCATTTCCATTGAGCCACCCAAGCTGGTGATCACTGCCGCTTGGCTAAGGTTCTGAATCTTTGGATGTGGTTCTGTGCGGATTTTGAGCTCTGCAAAAACGTTATGAATGACGGGCCGGGCATCGAAAGGACTGTGTTGCCCAGGTCTCAGATCCGGATTCGGGCAGAAGATGCTTCGACTGATTTATACATGTCACCAAGAAACAGTTTGGAACATGCACGGCAAGAGCAGAAAGAAAGACAAAGAAGAGCCAAACACACACACAGTGCAAATGCTACCTTGGGTAGTGTTTCCAGGCTCTGGCAACGAACATGGTCTTGTTTCAGAGATCTGAGGAGTGTCTCACAAGATATCCCTCGCTTTCTGCGACGCAGTGCCTTGCGTCCTCACAGGCTGGGAGATTGAAAGGCTTTACACAGCGACAAGGAACTGAATAGGTCTCAAATGAGCAGAAAAGCAGGAAAAGCAAACGCGTCAGCTTTGAGTGGCAAATCACACACTTGTCGTTTGCCTGGAGATGTATTTCCGTTGCAATAACACGGATTTTCAAAGTCTTTGGCCAACAATTGCTTTGCAGGCACAAATATAGTGGCTCTTGACCCTGATTGCACGCCTTCGATACCTGCGCAAGGCAAGTTGGGAGTTCTTTTAGCGCTGCTCGGCAGAAGTAGCGTGACATACTTGAGACGAGACGCGTGGAAGATCTATGTGCCGATTTTACCCCAAGGAAAGCTCCCACAAAGAGCAAAGACCTCAGAGCAACGATGACGTCTGGCAACGGCGCCGAGGAAATCAGATTGGAACATTTCACATGTTGTAAAGTTCATCCAGTTATTCCATGTTACACTTCTGAAAGTGTGGCACCCCTTGCTATCTGGCAGGACAAGTACGCGGTAGCTTCCCAGCTTTGGCTTGTTTATGCCGATACTTGCAGTGCTGGCCTTGGCGATGGCTGGACGTGTTTTTTTGCACCTCTCAGCACCTATTGAAGGTCCACGACAGCTGCAGCAGATTTTGCTCCAAATGAGCTTGCAGGGTGCCATTTTGCAACTTGGACCTTGCAGCTTTCCAGCGGGTTCTGTCCTTTTCCACTTCGGGCTGATTGCGCCGGTGGCCGTTGCGTTTCCAAGGCACAACATTACACCTCGATGGATGATCTCTCCTTCTCCCCTACGACAGGGCTGCTCCTGCCTGAGAAGGGGAGCTCCAAGTAGGAGATAAAGAGAACACTCGTCGATTCTATGACGCAGTAAACAAGTGAAAAGCACATGAAATATATATATATATATATTATATATATACATATTCTCATATTCAGTCATATTGGATACTACTGTATCCAAGACGATGTCAATCGCATGTGCATCATATTGTCATCCTATGGTTGGGCAAGACGAGGGAAGACTTGGCGGGGGGTAGAGGACGCTACTAGGAGCAAAGGGCATCGCCACTAGGAGCAAGGACGCTACTAGGGGCTTTTTCGTGGCTGAGTCTATGGACTCCTCGTGGCGGGGAAGGCGGTGAAACCTGCTGAGCAGGCCATGCGAAGAAGAGCAGAAACTCATCACCATGAACTATCGATTGCTTTCCTTCTTTTTGGCATTTTGATTGTTCTGTTGTCCAACATTTTGTATCTCTTGTACACCTGGCTGCTAACCTGGCCAACATTTGATTGCTTTGCAGGAACCCGCGCAGGAGATAACCATGAAAATCCCTGGCAAGGCGTATAGATTGTCACACAAGATATCCCAGATACTTCAAGATAGTGACATTGTCTCAGGTGAGAGTGGCGGATCTTTACAACGAGGTCACATTCTTGGTGAGGTGATTTAGACATGGTGCACCGAACAAGACTTGCCGTTCAAATATGGTGTTTTGTCAACGGGTTCTTCAATGCCACCACCAACAGCCATTGAAAACCGAGGTCAAGATGTCCTTGGCAGTGAAGGGCCACGAGAATGTTGCAGATTTTAGGCGATGGAGTTCCGCAGAACTGGTGAGCTTGGCTCCTTTCATGTGTTTGATTGCTGCTGAACCGTAGGGGTATCTTCTACATGGACGCCACCGAATGCAAGCATGTTGCCGAAGCTTTGAATCCAGCAATGGCATGTCCGAGCCTCGGACGATCATCCAAAGAGTTACGCCACGCCGTGTTGGGACTCAGGCAACATGGCCACCTATCACTCAGTTGCTTGGCACATCGCTGGGTGAAACTTGCGGACAACGGTTCGGCCCATCGGTTCGGCCCATCGAACGGGGTCGAGGCAACCGTGACCGACGATTTCCGGAGATTTTGCGTCCTCGTAGCAGAATATACTCTCGCACTGGAGTCAGTTGCCTATCCACACTTCAAAACAAGCGTTCAGTGTCAAGGGAGCCTACCTCTAAGCACTCATACACCCTGGCTTGGAAGATGGAGCAGCTTGTTGCGGTCTCTTATGACCACTTGTGCATAACTCGTGTGCCTCGCCTGGAAATTGCGCTGGTCAGGAAATTGCGCTGGTATTCAGCAGCATAGAGGCTGAAATGCGACGTGGGTCAACAGCTTCTGATAGTCTCACTGAACAGTACTGGTAATAACCTTTGAGATCCTTTGACCAACTTCAAATTTATCAGCAAAGCTGTAGATCGCTGTGTGTGATTCTGGTGATTAACCTTGGGCGAAACTTGCACGTGGATATGCCTTTTGCACCTTCAGGGAGTTTCGTTGCATTCATGGACGCGCAACGAACACGGGCTTTCAGAAGCTTGTGCACTCCATGCCTTGAAGGTATGAAACTCAAATCGAGTTGACGGTGTGTTGCCTCAAATCTCATATGTCCGACAGCTTTGTTTTCTTGCACAAATGTTCGAAATGTGAATGTTGAACAACACAATTTTTGAACAACGTGCAGAATTTGTTGACACGTTGTCAAAACTGATCGCGTCAGAAACCCGTCCTCAGGGAATTGGCGAAGCGCTGCGCCACATCCACTCACTTGGCATTGTTCATTCGAACGCAACGGAGCCGAAAGAAGGAATTGTCACTGTTCATTCAGACATGCTTGTCATTGTTCATTGCAGTTGGGATGCTGCTGTTTCCGGAGTTTGCAGTTTGCGAACCACACTGGCTTCATTTTGTGTACTTAGGTGAACCCGGAAAGCATTTTTATTAAGACTGACGGCGAGTCAGTGCTTGAAGCTTGTTTGCAAAGAGCTCATTGCTTCTGGCTGCTAGCCCTGCTAGCCCTGCTGGCCCTGCTAGCTGCTTTTTCAAGCGTTGCTGCGACTCTAAAGAGGCAGACTTTGGTTATGCAGTCCATTTGCTGGATGGGAATCTGTTTGAACCTCAGCACATCAAATGAAAGAGCTGAGAAGTGGAATGATCAGTCAAAACTTCAAAGTTTACATCTCTCTCTCTCTCTATATACAATGTATATATATATATATATATACAAATTCTGAAAACCAGCCGATAACGATAGGCATGGCTGAGTCTTCGATGGGCGAACAAAGTGAGTAGGGGGTGTGGGGGGTATAAATCTGGCCCGGTTGGATAGGAGAGCGAAACAAAGTGAGGGTCACAAAGGTAGTAAACATATAGGTTTATCAGGGCCTGGTGATGCGAGTGATGCAAATGATGCTGAAAAGTGCATCAGTAGCATCACAAAGTCTTCAGGAGACTATTTGGATTGTCTATTGACCAGGGATGGGAGTTTTGGTGGAGGACAGGAAAGGGGAGACTGCGTGACAGGAAATGCAACAAACAAGATTGCTATACACTGAGGGAGCTGACCAAGCAAGAATCTCCAAATTCTCACGGAGAGGACGACAAAAGAGGAAATAGAATGCAGGCAGGAACTTCTGAGTTGCTTGGGGGGTGCCTATTTTATTGTGAAAAGGGCTGTTGACGGGAAGAACAAGGGCACCCCCAGAGCTATAGATGTCCAAGGGGGGTCGGACTTTTGTTCGGGCCCAAGTCTATCCTATGACTAGTAACAGCCGAAGGGAGTTGATCCAGGCGTTGTTCGGTGGTTCGAGTCCACCCTGGTCCGCTTTTGATTTCTACATCGCTCTTGTTGTTTTTACCTAATCCTCAGCCACAGTTGTAGCTGAAGCAGAGAGTAGTCAGGCATGTGCAAAACAGTTCCCAGACATGTAGCATCTCATGTTGCAAACTTGACTTTGCAATACTTTTTGAACTTGCGTGGTCATATTTTCCAAATCTGACCACGAGGAATATCCAAGCAGGCTTACCGTTCTGGTGGGCACATTCGGGGAGAGGGAAACAGAATACAGGCACATTCTATCCTATAACCACTAACGGTGAATGTGGATTGATCAAGGCCTTGTGTGACTTCATCCTATAACAACGATTATGTATTATTACAGAGGCTCAGAGGCTGGTTTTCGTCCCGTCCCTTGTCAGGTGTTTGTATATTTTATATAGTCCATTAAGTGTCCTTTCAACTTAACTTTCTCATTGTACTTGTTTCTAGCAACCAGTCAAAGCCTCCAAGTCTGCTGCCAAAACAAAGTTCGAGGCCAATGGGTTTTGGCCCTGTGCCTCCACAATACTCTGCTCCAGAGCAGGCAAGTAATGTCAGCAAACGATGCCCAGCCAGTTCCTTTGTGTTGTCCTTTTGTTTAATGGCTGCCTCAGGTGGAAGATGCGTTTGGCTACGGTGGCTTGGCATTCTCCAATGAACGAGCTACTTGTAGGGATTTCATTCAGTCTTCATGCTGGATCCCCTCCTCCGCTGATCAGATTGATTCAATCTCTCTTGACAGGTCCTCCTGCTGACATTTTTGCTTTGGGTGGTTCATGACTCAGACCAGCTCTTCCTGCAGTCTATGACGCTAGACTGAGCAAATCTTCCAGACTGGCCGCCAGAGGTTGCTTGTATTTTGCCCTGAGCGACCTCATGCCATTCAAAGGAAAAAGCAGCCACTTGGTTTTTCTCTAGTGTTTCAGTTAATTTTGTGGCCTTCAAGCCTGTGGCCTTCAGACCTTTGACCCAGGAGAAGACGTCATGTACAGCATCCTGAACCGGACTCCAGCAACTCCAGCGGCACAGAGAAGGGCTCAAGGGTATGTCACCGGATCGCCCCTTGCCATCTGATCGCCAAGGATCTGGGAAGACAGGAGTTTAAAGAAACTACTGCACCACACTGAGTGCAGTATGCAGCACTAATTACATTTGTTTGCACCAATTTTTAATGTCCAAGACTTGGAATCTTCTTTTTGGCTGCATCCCTAAGGCCAAAACAAAGGATTTTATTCGGATGTTGATGTCCTGGGCTTATATTGCAATATGACGAAGGAGCAAGGATTTGGCCCCTGAACGGCATCCAAGGTACAAGGACCCAATGTTGCGACCAACGGCCATAGAAGCTTGCCAGGCTGGAAACGGTTGAGAAGATTTGTCCAGCCCACCTTCCTGCAGTCTGCATCAGTCTGCAGTTTCAGGTGCTTCGAAATCCCGAACATTCTTTCTTCTCTGATGCCGTAAGTGAGCTCATGGATGTGCGTCAGCCACCGATCACCGGTGTGAGCACCTTGCTTCAGCGGGTGGGCCGCTGTTTGCGGAAGAGGGCGACAGCAGTCAGAAGGCGGGTTGGCTTAGTTTGGCACGGACATTGGCACATTTAGTTTTCATGTCTAAGAAACTGTTGTTTCGAATTTGAGGCACGCGTGTTTCGGATTCTTGGTTGGGTTTCCTTTCACTTCGAGGAATTGTGCTGACTTGGCTCGCCGATCTCGACTGTCACGACATAGTGCCAAGTCTGTGGTGCCCTTTGACGACTTGTCCTTGGTGGTTCCTACAGACGACACTCGGAACAACATCGACCAAAAAGCAAGCATGTCCTACAGTCCTGACTGCGTGTCTATTGCTCAAGTGAAGTTGTAGAGTACCACGGTATCGTGCCACCCAACTTGCGAACCAGTGACGCTGCCCAAGGCACTGAAATCTGGCACTGGAACCACAAAATGAGCCGTGGCTGCCAATGTTTGCTGACTCTCCTTGAACGCTTTAGAACCGAGTCAGCGGCTTGGCGACTGTTTGCAACCGAGGACTGTGGTGGGGTAGCTCCGCAGGCTGAAATTTTGTGAAACAGTCTGAGAAGCTTTGGCTCTTACTTTGAATATATAGAAGAGACTTGAAGAGACAGCTTTTTCAAGAGGAGACGTACTTGACTCCCTCACAGCTGTAATTTCTTTCAATTCGGCCTAGGGAAAGGCCCCAGGTTCGTCCTTGGAGAGCCAATATCCGCGACAATGCTCGTGGTAACTCCTCTGGACCAGAAAGCATATATAGATGTAGAAAACATGTTTGGGTATTCCATATTCCTACCCAACATGACTTGCGGGGACGATCTTGCGATCGACACCTGCACCAGATTTAAGTTTTGCCAAGCAGACGAGATTGTGTCAGCCAAGCTGACCAAACTGCTTCGCTCCAAAAACACCATGCCGAGCGGTCTGAGACGGCCATCCAACAGATCGCTTCCGATTGAAACGAGAAAGCATCCGCTTCCTGTGAGGAACATGACTTTTGGACAGCCTTTGTGAGGTCAGCAGAGATATTTGGCGAAGCATCAGTCGGGGTCACCCATCGCGAGACGAACGGTCAAACATATTGTCCTTCGCATGCTGGTGCGTGACCCTTCTATTTCTAGAACCTACTGTACAAGAGTCGTCCAAGCATTTGAGCTATCTAAAGATCTATATACATATTATAGACATGTCCCTACTCAAGTGATCAAGTGAGAGAGGAAAGATCTGGAAGCTGTTGGCTGAGACCACACCTGCTGCATGAGCCGGACGAAGAGCCTGTGGCAAGTGGCTCAATACTCAGATTGCCTCTATGTTCTTTCCTGTTGACAGGGACCAAGGCAGCAAGTGTGATGAGTCATAAGTCATGACAGGTGCTGCTGCCGCTGCTGCCCCGGGGACCACGGCAGAGACGGCCGTCCCAGGACACACCACATCTGCAACTGCAGCATCTGCAGCATCTGCAGCATCTGCATCGCCAGAGCTGAGCGACGGAGCAGAAGAGACAGAAGAGATGAGGAGGAATCTAACGAAGTTTTTTTGATTGATTCCACATGTGTTTGCATTTGTCGTAGTATGTCATAGTTTGGAGCTTCCCTTGTGGCAGGAAGATGAAGTGCCTTGGCAAACATGTGGAGACTTAACACAAAAGTCTTGCTCACTTTGCCTCCTACTGACCTACTGAACAATAGATGCATTTGAGGCACATCAGCACTTGGAATGGCGTCGGCTCCTTGCAGAAACGCAGAGGACGACCAGTTGCAAGCCAGAAGTCTCCTAGTCCTAGTCCACGAGGTTATCATAACCATTGTACTCGTGTTGCGGAATGTGTGGTGATGGAGCGAGAGCCTTGCGCCAAGGCGATCACGGACAAGTACTACTGGTCACAGTCCTTGCAAGAAGTGACCATGGAGGTTGAGGTTGGTGATTGCAAGGCAAGGAGTGCCAAGACAACGACACATACACAGCTTCGGGACCGCTGGACGAACAACCATGCCATTCCCGAGGGTTCTCTAGCTGCTAGCTTTTGCAGGCCTCCCAGGTGAAGGTGGAGATCACAGCTACCAGGCGGGGCGGGCGGCTGCTGCGTATCGCTCGGGCTGTCTGAAGACCTGCAGGCTGACCGTAAAGCGAGGTGAAGAGACGCAATTGATGGGGAAGCTGCATGAGAAAGTTTTGCCCGAGGAGCTGTTGGCTGTGTAGACTCAGCTGAATGGACCTGTGGACTTGGCATTTGTCCAAGCAGGAGTCCATCTGGCATTTGGAAGATGGGCACCAAGTCTTGGGACTCAGCTTATCAAGGACGCTACTAGCAAAGGGCATCGCTACTAGGAGCAAGAAGCTATTAGTAACTCCTGGCATTACTACTAGGAACAAGGACGCTACTAGGAACAAGGGCATTACTACTAGGAGCAAATAGCTTCAACTGAGTTGCAAGAAACATCCCAAGACATGGACCTTCGATGCTGAGGTGATCATCTCCTTGCAGAAGTCAAGAGAGAACTGGTGGAAATGTGTCCTTGAGGGTGATCCGGAGCGCTCAACTTCGTGCATCATCCATCACTTGGGTTTTGCAGTTTCTCCTGTTGGATTTGGGTTTCGCAGTTTAGACTAGGATCCTTTGACCTTGACACCTGAAGGAAATTGACACAACGAAAGCCCTGGGCCAAGTTTCAAAGCACTAAAGTACAGGCCAAAAGGTACATGCCAAAAAGTACATGCCAAAAAGTACAGCTTATTGGAAACAAAAGTACATGCCAAAAAAACTTCGAACATAAGTACAGTATAGTGCTGCGAGAAGCCAAGGTTGAGTCCACGAGGAAGATGGAAGAATACGATGGCGAAACGCAGGGCGCCATCAGGACGATCCGGATGTATTTGCTGGGTGTTCTTGCACCTGTTGAGCTGCTGTCCATTCACCCATCCCTCAATGGTTGAATTTCTGCAAGGAAGATCATGTTTGATCAGAATCAGAAGCTGCAGGCCCAAGAGCACTTATGTATGTATGCATGTATGCATGTATATATATGTATAAGGGTATAAATATGTATATATATATATTTAAACAATACACACTGCTCCTTGCTTGCCATTCTGTGCCAGGGAAAGCCCAGTTCTGATCAAATTCGGACTGCCGAGATGATGAAGGTGCACTTGGCACAGCTGCGTGAGCATTATTGGGTACCTTCTATCTTTGTCCATGCTTTTGTTCGGAAATGACAATTTGCCTGAGGATGCCTGGAATGCACCTGGCTCACCCTTCGCTGGAACAGAGTTCGCTGGGGAGCTCAAGATCAAACCGGGACTTGGCAGTGTTGCGCAGCGTGGTAGAGTGGACTTCCAAACATCGTTCAGTGTTAGCCTGGCACTTCTATTCCGGCCGAAGCCAACACGCTGCTACATAGAGACCCAGAAGCCCAAACGCTTTATGGACGGACATGCCAACATGTGCTGCTTTTCTCTCCTGCTTCGCTTGGTAGGATCCAACGCTCTTGAACTTGTCGGGGCCAGTTGGTGAAGACTTCTTTAAGGCGGGATATCGGAATGAGCCGGAATGAGCTGATGTCCAAGGTGTACAAAGAGTTGACTGAGCAAGGTCTTGTTGGCGAGTTTTCACTGTTTTGTGTTTTGCACGCCCACCAATACTGAGTCGAGGCCATGGAGGACAAGCGAATTGAAGGAGCTCGACAGCGGCTCCAGCCCGCCACACACCCAGCATCTCATTGCTTCAAACGACAGGTTTCCAGATCAACAGCTTTCCCAGTGTCGCTGTCACTTCAGGCGAGCTCCTCTGCGCAGCAGTGACAGCCTAGTTGGTGCCCAATGTGGCCCCAGAAACAGGGTCAATGGCAACACGCTTGGGCCGACGCAGAAAGGGCAGATCAAAAAGGACCCACATGCTGAGATCATGTTTAAGTTTAATGCAATTGGGGGCCTAATACCAATACTGTAATTGTAAAGTCAATCTTGAGAACTAGGATGCCGCTCCAGCAGCTATGCTCATAAAGGAACGAGCTCAAGGTCTGGGAGTAACCAGTGGACTCCTTTGACCATATAACTAGAAGCTTCCTTGGGAATCGTTTCACTGGGAATCGTTTCACCTGTAGTAACAATAGAGCTTTCTAGTAACTAGAAGCCCTAGCTGCTAGTAGTAATGGCCGTCAACCTAATAGCGATGGCCTCCACCTTGTAGCTTCTTGCTACTAGTAGCTTCTAGCTAGTCTCAGCCCAAAGACTCCTTGACGCGGTCCTTTTGGTCCTCGAAAGTCCGCGAGAGATTTGTTCCGCTGACGCCTGAATGGTGCCGACTGGTGCCGACGCCCTGTGCCCTGCAGGCATTTTCATGAATCCCTCAGATTTTCCAGAGGAGATTACTGAGAGATACACTGTGGAAGATGAGGGCAGTCAGCAAGGAGTTCATCTACTGGGAGCCGGTGCATACGGAGAAGTCATTCTGGTTCAGAGCAAAAGCTCAAAGTGTACCATGGCTTTGAAGTGTTGCTTTGACTGTTTGATTCCTGATGATCCTACAGCGCTGAAACGAATGTACAGAGAAATTGCAGTGCTTCGGCAAGTGCGCCACAAGAACATTGTGTCTTTGCAGGACGCTGTCCTACCAAAGACAGGATGCCATTTGTACTTGGCCTTTGAATTGGCACTGCATGATCTTGAGCACGCAATCAGATACAATCTAGTTGAAGAACCTCGAAGAGTATCCTGCAACATTGCCCGTGCATTAAGTTTCTTACATGCCACTGGCTTGATTCATCGCGACGTCAAACCAAGCAACATTCTCTTGGACAAGGATGGACGAGCAAAACTCTGTGACTTTGGTTTCGTTCGACGGAGCTGCCTCAGGGATGACCCACCACGGGCTTTCACGGAGTATGTAGGCATGCGCTGGTACCGCGCTCCTGAGCTGTTTGTTGGGACCTTCTACAACCAGAGCATCGATGCTGCTTGACAATGAATTCTGTGAGGTTTCTCCGAACGTTGATTTTCCCGGAGGAGTTTTCCAAGCTGCTTGGATTGTGTTTCTCAGTTCTAAGGTTTGGTCGTATGGATGCGTTGTGGCCGAGATGGTCTCAAGCTTAGATGCCCTGCCCATAGGGCCATTCTTGCAAAGTTAAGAACTTACCCGATGCACAAAATATGACGGTCGTTTGATTTGAACAGCGGGCTCAACTGCATTCCCCCTCTGGCTGAAACCACAAAATGCCGTTCACATGGCTTTGAGTTGGCAGAGAGCACAGAACTTCAGCTGTCAGTCAGGTGCTTGGCAGGCCTTTGATTTCGGGGATCGACGGAGAGGATATATAGTATTGGCATGATTATTGTATGATTATCCGATTTGCTTCCAGTCCCTGCTTGGACACCACTCTTCTGACTTCATAGAATCCTGGTTTGTGTTTGTTTCAACCTGTAGACGTTCAGGAGCAGTTGGGTCTTATTGTTGGACTTTGTCTTGGACGACATCCAAGCCGCTTTGAGGCGAACGCTCGGAAAAAGAACTGAGACACCAATCCTGGCACATACCTTTTTAAAGAGAATCATGATATTTTGTTTTCGTTGTGTGCCAGGCTGAATCGCTGGGTGTTTCAGAAAGAAATCACATCGCAGGTGCCGCAGCATGTTGAGTCTCTCGCCGGCTCCGCGGAGTTGTGCCGCGGAGTTGCGTGACCCGGGGTTTTCTGGTTGAGGTAAGCCAACAAGACCTTAATCTGCTTTAGTTGCAAGAGAGACAGTTTGTTTCGATCTGTAGGCACTGTAGGTTCTGTTATGGACTCCCAGAAGATTGAAGTTTTCATCCTTGTGAGGTGTGGTGCGAACCGTACCGCTGGGGCCAACATTGGACAAGAAGCTGAATGGTGTAAGGCTCTCAGGCATTTGGAATCCACGCTGTCCAACTGGGCTGTAATAACTAAGGTCACAGATTCGCAATGCCTTGAATTTGTTCGCGGGCAGCCCAAACTACAATGAATTGCTTTGTTTTCATCAACCACAAGACAAGAGGTTTGAACTCTTTGATGTTCCTAGGCAGCTGCTTGAAATTTGGCCCAGCTGAGCGTTCGACTGCGCCGTCCTCAGCACTTCACCTGTTTTGGCTTCTGTCCGTCTGCATTTCTGAGGCAGAAGAGCTCTTGCGCAATCGGTTTCTTGCAGGCTGTCAGGAGGTGTGGAGCCTTCAGCCCGGCTAAGCTCACCAGACGACAAGAAAGAAGCTACTAGGAACAAGTGCATCGCTTCTAGTAACTGGAGCTGTGTTCCAGGAAGACGAAGAGGCACCGTTGACGACACCGCCGCAAGTGGTGTTCGGCATTGACGACTCTCTGGAGGCGCATGGTGTTCGTGTAGGGATCCATCCGTTTTCGGAAGTGTGTAGCAGTGTAGCAAGCATCAAACCTAGGAACCAAATGAATAGAAGCGTGAGCTATCATGCGTCCTACCTAGAAGCTCGCCTAGAATCTCTTTCAGCCTTGGGGCCCCGAAAAAACCGCCTCCTGCCACCTGCCCCACCTCCTTTGGGCTCTTCCACCGTTGCAGCAGCTTACTGTACCTTCTTCATCAAGTAGGTGCCTAGTTAATTAAGTAGGCGGGCAGGGCCGGCACCGCAGGCAAAAATGAATTCTCGCTTGTGCATAGTCAGTGCCTCCGGTGACTCCAGGCACCCGAGAGAGTTCTGGAGGCGATTGCCGACGAGGTGGCCGCCACGAATTGCTCAATAGACTCAAATAACAGCGATGGCCTCCATCTTAATAGCAATGGCCTCCATCCAAACAGCGATGGCCTTCATCCTAAGAGCGATGGCCTCCATCAGACCTAATAGTGATGGCCTCCATCAGACCTAATAGCGATGGCCTCCATCAGACCTAATAGCGATGGCCTCCATCAGACCTCATAGCGATGGCCTCCATCAGACCTAATAGCAATGGCCTCCATCCTAATAGCGATGGCCTCCATCAGACCTAATAGCGATGGCCGCCATCAGACCTAATAGCGATGGCCTTCATCCTTGTAGCAATGGCCTTCGTCCTAATAGCGATGGCCTCCTTCCTAATAGCGATGGCCTCCATCTTAATAGCGATGGCCTTCGTCCTAACAGCGATGGCCTCCCTCGTAATAGCAATGGCCTCCATCCTAACATCATCCTCATAGCAATGGCCTCCATCCTAATAGCGATGGCCTTCATCCTAATAGCGATGGCCTCCAACCTGACAAGGTGTTGAGACTCAAAGACTTAAGCATCGTTAGATTGGCTCAAGCATCATTTGGTTCTCATGTGGACATGTCCCACAGCAATATGGCACCAACATCAAGCATCTTTAAACTCGGCAACGTTAGTACATGGCAGGAATTACACTCAATTGTGCCACACACTGCATGCATCATTGCAAAGATTCCCCAGGCAATCGCAGTTGCTAAGGGATGCGCTTCTGCTTCAGCATAGATCTGAAGTTTGGATGTTTTGACTGTTTGCCCCGAGCCTGGTGTGACTGGTGCCACCGCTTCCTTGGTTCGGTTGATCCAGTTGGACTTGGACATGAAACCGCGACACTGGAATCACCAGCCAGTTCTTGTCCACGATTCCAGCGTCGTGCCAGGAACGGGCAGGAATTGCAGGGACGATCTTTGGTTGCAAGGGCGTTTAGAACGTCCCCGGACAAAGACGTTTGGACAGTCTTCAAGGAGATCTCTGGAGACTTGAAGGAGATTTCAATGGAGGACCTGAGTGACTACATTTGTACCTACTTGGGCTATGGACATGCAGAGGCAGTAAGATATTTTACACTTTACAGTTTCAATCAAAGCATGAACTTCCGGAGCTTCAAACAAGGCTATCCTGACTTGAACCCTTTCTTCATCTCTCGCTGGAGTGGAGATATTATTCTGAGAAAGCCAGGATCTCTAAATCGGCAGCAGGTCAACTTGGAGGAGTTGTCTAAATGTGAAGTGTATATTTGTGACATAAGTGGTCAAGTGTTTGTAGATTCCTGCAAGGATTCCCTAATCCTCCTGGGGCCCTGCGATGGGCCTGCGTGTTTTCGCAATTGTGAGGGTTGTACATTCTGGGCCGCTGCACAACAGATCAGATTGAAGGAGTGCAAATCTTGCACGCTCTACATCTACGCCAAAACTCCACCCACTATGCTGGATTGTGAGGATATTCTTGTAGCACCCTGGTGTGCTTCCTATGCCAACTGCAAAGAGCATTTCGAAGCTGCTGCCTTTCCTGTCGAAGTCAACTACTGGAATGCTTTGTTTGATTTCAGTGGGACATCAGAGAAATGCCATTGGCAAATCTGTGCACTTCATGAAGTTGTTCAGCTCAAACTGTGGGAAGGCGAAGATGCTCATGCGAAGCATCTGAGAAATCCTTGTCCTGTCGTGACACACCAGATCCTTTGCGATTTGCCCCTTTCAAATTCTGATGGGCAGCCTGGCCAGCGTATGACTATTCCCCAGGTCCGGCCAAGCATGCCGGATCCTCCCTTGAGTTCTGCTCTCCAACTGGATGTGAGGGATTGCGCTGCAAAGCGCCTCGTTGGGGCACCACTCCTGAACAAGCTAAGATCTCTAAACCAGCAAAAACATGTTTTGGATTTGGTTTCTGGAATCAGCCTTGTACAGGCAAATTAATGCTGTACCATTGTGCTGATCAGAGAGTGAGGACTCGCAACAGCTTTGCGACAAAGACGGACAACGGGCAGCAAAAGTTGCGATGCATGGTGCAAAGAGTGTGACTCCCTTGCTTGGCATCTCGATGAGTTGCTGAGATTTGAACAGTATCTGGCATTTGCAAATTCTTTCCACGCTTACAGGTGCAGCTTCTTTCACAAGATGAGCAGTTGGAAGAGAAAATAGCTCGTCAGCAAAGTCAGAGTAGTTGCAGCGTGCGTACTTTTTAAAGTTTATTTTGACTTTATCACGCCGAGAGAAACTTCGACTTGATTGTTTTTGTCCATTACACTTGGAATGCAACTTGTTGACTCCTGCCACTTTTTGAACACTGCCGCCCATCATCGATTTGACTGTCAAGGCTGACATTGGAACTCAGAAGCTTAAAAAAATGCATCAAGTATAGTTGTCCGTCTTATAAGAGATGACTCAGAGATGACAATCCAGAATCGTCAAATCTCAGCGCCAACGATAAACGGTTTGATTTTTCGTTCCTCCCACACGCTGAAGCTGCCACGTGGAGTGCGCAAGCAAACATACGCTCGCAGCCTATGAACCTTTGTGTTTGCGTGTCAACTTTTTTGCATCATTTCTGCATTGAGTGGCAGTCACTGACAAGGCTGCACGACAGAAAGTCGTCCGGTGCCAACCTGATGAGAGCAAGAGGCAGCCACTAAAAGCTGAGAACTGCCCAGATTTGTCACAAGGCCATGGCCAGCAAGTGCATGCCTTAGAATCTTAAGAATCAAGAATGAACAGGATGTTGAACATAGCTGTCTTTTTCATACGTTTTTCTTCTTCCTTTAGACCTTTGCTTCGCCCCTTGATGTCCTTCTGCAGTTTCCTCTAAGCTTTACATCCTGACGGCTTTCCATCCACCCAGGAGCACATTCAAATCAGCCCAAGGCCGGTTTGCAACAGACTCTGCGTGATTTGGTGTTGAGACATTCTTTGCCGTGCGACAGGTGGGACTTTGTCTAGTCTTGGTGGACCGGGTTATGGTTTCTGGTTGAGTGCAAGAAACGTACATTATATTCTTCCAACATGCTGTAAAGTTTGAGCAGACTGCTGAAATGTGGATAGATTGAAATAGCTTGACCTTTCGGTTTCACTGATTTGCTCTTTGCGTTTCCACAGCGATCGAGGACCGAAGGCAACAGATTTTGATGCCATTCTCCTGGAGGTCCTGACCTCAGAAACTTGGCAACCTCAGAAATGACGGATCAGACCGGCGAATGACCGAGGGCCTACAAGCATTGGCCAAACGCGTGCAGGAGCACCACGAGTATTTGCAGGCAGAACATGCGAATTAATTTTTTGAAGTTCTTTCGGTAGTTCATCTCAAGTCTGTTGATTTTCCATCACTTTTGACTGCAGTTCTTTGAAAGCGTTACGTAGCATGTTGGCAGGCACAACATGCACCGCCCCACAATGGAAGAGGACAGGATCTGAGCCCTCGAACGCAACAGGTTCTCGAGGGCAGAGTGGCAGAGAAGCACACAGTACAGTACTATGAACGGCTTTCAACTTCGCATACAGAACTCCCACAGCTACCCCTATACTCGAGCCAGGGTAGCCCCTATCCCAGGGGCCTAGGGAGCTAGCCTAGTGCTACCCATAGGCCTATCATAGGCCTATGCCTAGGCTAGGCATAGGCCTATCCTAGACCTATGCCTAGGCTAGGCATAGGCCTATCCTAGGCCTATGCCTAGCGCTATCCATAGGCCTATCCTAGGCCTATGCCTAGGCTATCCATAGGCCTATCCTAGGCCTATGCCTAGGCTAGCCATAGGCCTATCCTAGGCCTATGCCTAGGCTATCCATAGGCCTATCCTAGGCCTATGCCTAGCGCTATCCATAGGCCTATCCTAGGCCTATGCCTAGGGTAGCCATAGGCCTATCCTAGGCCTATGCCTAGGCTAGCCATAGGCCTATCCTAGGCCTATGCCTAGGCTAGCCATAGGCCTATCCTAGGCCTATGCCTAGCGCTATGCATGGGGCTATCCTCGGCTAATGCCTCGCCTAGCCATAGGGCTGTCCTAGCCTCATAGCCTTTTTCCTCCTGGCCCTCTCCTCCCTATCCGTTGCTTTCCTCTCTCTGCCTCCCTCCACCTGCCTCCCGCTCTCCCCTTCCTGCCGGATGCGCCCCGGCAGGATCTGGCACGCAACGACTGACCCCGAATACCAGCGATCACGCAAGGGCACCGGCGCTACGAAAAGGGAGGGAGGGAGAGAAAGCAGCAGAGCAGCACCGCCGTGAGGGGCGCGCGAAGCGTCGACGATTCGAGCGCCCCCGAAAGTGGAGTGGCCGTAGGCACAGTAGAGCTCGCCGACCTCTGTCTTCCTCCCCCTCCCTTTCGCCTGTCTCCCTCACCCTCCCCCTCCCTTCCTCTTCCGCCCTGTCGCTGCCTGTCCTGCGCGTTCCTGCCCCATCACGCAAGGGCAGGGGCACCACGAAAAGGGACAGACGGGGGGAGGAAAGCAGCAGAGCAGCACCTCGGTGAGGGGCGCGCGAAACGTCGACGATTCGTGCGCACCTCCAAATTGGAGTGGCCGTAGGCACAGAAGCTAGCCTACCTCTATCTTTCTGCCGCGCCTAGTGCCTTTCCCGGAAATTGATCAATCCGGCTCTTTCGGGTGGCCAAAGTCCCCGTGACCGCTCCGTCCCTTCCCTGCCCCGTCCGTTCGGCTCCCTCTCTCCGACACTTTCGCTTGGACTTCCGCACAGGCGCCAGAACTATGAATGCCCTGCAGGATTTGCGGCCAGGAGACTGGAAGCCGGCGCCGGTCCCGCGCAGGATGTGGCCCGGCATGACCTGGCGCGCAACGACTGGCTGCGAACACCGGCGATCACGCTCGAGCGGCGCAACGTCACAATAAAGCGGAGCGTTCCTTTTACGCTGACGGCCGCCGCCACTCACAACGCAGCGACGTCGGGCCAATCACCGGCCGCCGCGCTGATGGGAAAGACAAGAGCTCCCTCACAGTTCTCCACCGCGAAGACGAGCACGAGTGTCGTCTCCCCATAGTGACCGCTGAGCCACAGGTGGCGCCACGAGTGCCGCCGCAAAAACGCCGCCATGGTCTCGCCGGCGACGCTGTCCGTGTTCGCGGCCAGCCACTGGAGGAGGAAGACCTCCGAATCACCTCGGGCAGAGGGCGGTGTTCGGGGGCGGCGCGCGAGGTTGGTGGATTCGGTGCAGCAGAGTTGCCGGGCAACGTGCGGACCACGTTCCGGCGTGGATGCAAGCCGCGCCGCGCCGCGACGGCGTGCGCGAAGTCGCCCGAGTGATGCCCTCCAAAGTGCAGCAACGGCACGTGCACGCCGCGGAAGGGTGGGCAGCGGAGGCCTTCCCACAAAACGGGCATGAGCGCCGTGAGGACCCGTTCGCGGAGGTCGACACAGCGCCGCAGGAGCTCGTGCGTGGTCAACTGCCCAGGGCCGGCGCGGCGAGCGACGGCTGCGAGCTGTAGCACGCAGGGAAGGGGACAGAGCGGTAGCAATGCAAGCAGCAAGATCTCGTCAGACAGCTGGAGAGGTTGCGTGGCAGCGGAAGGCCGAAACACAAAAGGGGCGGGCAGCGCAGTTTCGAGCCGGAGACTTGGTGGCAGACAATATCCATCGCGGTCAGACCTGAAAGTGAGCGGACGCGATAGGGAGGCGCACAGATCCAGCCGTTTTCATCTGGCCAGAAGGTCTGCAATCTAACGTGGATGCAGGACGCCAGCACGCCACCTCGGCGGGCGAGGCGGCGGCGCGGGCGCTTGGAACCGTGCCCACGTCACCGGGCCCGGCCGTGACACATACGGAATCGGCGGGTCCAGGAGCTGCGCCCGCAAGAGAGTGCGACGGTAAGGTAAAGTGTCTGCAACGACGCAATGCTCGGCCAGGCGGGCCTGGAAGTCCTCCACTGTTTCCACGCGGTCGCTCAAGCCGAGCTCGGCCCACGCATAGAGGCGTCCCCCGCTGCCCAGCCAGGTGCCGCCCAGACGCAGAGACGCACCACGCACTTCGCACGTCTTCTCCCCGTCCAGGATACGAAGCAACCACGGCATCTGGAAGAGCAAAGTGCAATCACCGGCGACGGGAGCGGCGCTTGGCGCTGCCGGACATTGCTGCACCGGCGGCATGGCCACCCGCCGCGGCCCAGAGAGCGCACGAAAAGCTGCAAACGCGGCTGCGGACGGAGCGGTTGTAAAACAAGACAGTGTGAGCGTGCAAGCCAAGCGCAGGATGCCAACGCCCCCGACCCCTCAATCGGTTTTCTCGCGCAGCTTCGCGACTGCTGCGACTTGGTGCCCCCCTTCAGAAGGTCAACCCGAAGATGTAGAGGTACCAAAAGGGGCGCCGGCAAGTCAACGCGCCATACTTCCAACTGCAGCCACGCCTGCCACAGCCGGAGGGTTGTAGAACTCTCTGATCCACGACGCACGGCATCAATGAAAGCTCCGGCCCGGACCCAAACAATAGGAGCGACGAAGGAGAAGTCGTCCAGATGCGGATCCCGCTGGAGGAGCGCCTGTAAGGTTTCGAGAGTCTCCCGCGAAACGCGGTAATCGAAGACCCCGGCCAGGAAGGCGTGCAGGATGACAAAGAAGGGCAGCACTCTGGGGATGTCTTCGTCCTCGGAATCCTTGACATCCGCCCGCCGGACGCCGGGGCGGAGCGTGGCAGAGTGGAGGAGAACGCGCGGGCGAGATGAAAGACGGCCGGAGAATGGCTGCGTCCAGAAAAGCGAACTAAAGGGTCTGCAGGAAAGACGCGCGCAAAACGGTCGCTGCTTCAACCGTTTGGGCGCGACCAGTTCTTTGGCACCCAGCTGCACATCCTTGCAGTCGACTGCGCAGCAGCTGTCACCACCTGACAGGCGGGCAGGGGGTGCGCGGGCAACGCGTGGGAGGTGACTGACAGCTTCTTGCTCGCAGGTCTGGGTCTAGAGGCGGACGTCACCTTGCAAGGA